TATTCAGAAAGAGACAGAGAGAGAGAGAGAAGAGGGGAGGAGTTGATCTTGCGAGAACTTCCGGGCGGGTGAGAATAGCCACTTTCTTTCTTTCAAATTGTGATTCTCCCAACTCCAAAACGGAGGAAAAACGATCGTTCATCGAAAAGACATCCGCAATCTTCATTTAGATCTAGATCTAGATCTAGACTAGCCTCGAAACTAGATCAATGATTTATGTCTGTCTAGATCTAGACCTAGGGTCCTAGGCCATAGAATAGATCTAGAAGAACCTAGGTCTACCTTAGTGTATAATTCTGCGGTCTACACTGAGCCAAGAGGGTGCTGAAACTTTCCGAAATCACAAGAGTTCCCCTACCGCTTTGTGACTTTGTCCCCGGTTACCGGGTCTGTATACACTCTCCCTAATAAATTACATCCTGTGTAGCCTATTCTATAGCGTATGCTACCATAGGAAAGTGACCAATGTCTGGCAACGCGCTTTTCATTTTCAGTATAATTATCTAGATCGATCTAGATCTAGATCTAGTACTTTCTGAAAACATTAAAAAAATTCAATTTCAATAGTGGTTCTTTCCCTTCTCCCACCCTCTCTCTCTCTCTCTCTCTCTCTCTCTCTCTCTCTCTCTCTCTCTCTCTCCCTCCCTCCCTCTTTCTGTGTCTGTCTCTTGTTTCAGTATTCAGTTTTGAATCGTTTTCTGTCTTTATAACAAGAGAACCGTGTAGAGCTTCTATGTCTACGCATGCATTTTGCAAACAGACGCTTGTTGCCAGTGTGTTGCCATTGCGTTGCCAGTGTGTTGCCTTGCCTCGAGTGTGTAGTGTGTAGTGTATAGAGAGACCATCTGATTGTAATAGGTGTTGTTGCAATAAAAGTGTCCTCGTGTTATTCTAAATTGTTTTAAGTAAGGAAAAAACCATCGTGTCCTTGTTGTTGTCTTCGCTATTATTTTTATGGTTGTATTTGTTGTTGTTTTCGTGAGCACCAGCACTAGCTTGGCCGTGATGTCCAACTCTATACAGTAACAAGACTAAGAAGATGGAGATCTCACCACAGAAAGCATGACCTTAACCTAGTCGTCTCTAAATGACTGCTGTTGTGTCGATATGCTTTACCGTAAATTTGCTATTTAGCGTGTGGTTAGAACTCGTCACTGGAAGGTCCTACTTCTTTACTTTCCCTACGTTTTGTCTGTCTGTATATCTTATATTTTTCCAGCACAAACAAACAAACAAACAAACAAACAATAATCGGCACTTATGGGAACGGTTTTTGTTGCAAGTGCCGTAAAACTCGTGCTAAAACTCAGATAAGCCGAGTAAAACCAAAAGTTCTGGTAAGACCCTACATGTGGGCTGGTTGACAGGTGCTCTGGTGTGGTTTGCTACTTCTTTCCCATCAAATTTCTATTCGCCTTTATCCCCCGTCCGCCTTTTTTGTGTTTGTTTCTATCTTGTAACACCTCTAATTTTCGTCACTTTTATGACCGTATGCAGTTGCGAATGCCGTAAAAAATCTTTACTAAACCAACCAATTTGTGTTTTGCGGTCTCATAATTTATGACCTTATGCAGTTGCGAGCGCCGTAAAATTCGTACTTAACAAACTCTTACTCAACAAATTCTCACTCAACAAACTCTTCGTAAAACAAAACAAGACAGTTTATTAATTAATATGTTGTTGTTCTGTCCTCCACAGATCGCAGTCGGAAATCCAATGTCAACGGAACAGCCAAGGGGGCTCCCCCCAGCAGCGCCCCTAACGCCCCCCGGGGCGGCCCCACCCCCAGCAGCGCCCCCCGGGGGACGTCCACCACCAGCAGCCAGAAGGAGATCGTACGCCTGGAGTCCCTGTGTGAGGCGAGGACCAAGGAACTCAGTCAGGCTAGGATGCAGCTCCGCGCTACAACACAGGCTTTTGATGCCATGTCTGTGGTGGTCAACTACTGCTGTGTGGAGGTAATGGCACAGACAGACAGACAGACAGACACGCACACACACACACACACACAC